GAGGAGGAGGAGGAGGAGGAGGAGAGAGGAGGAGGAGGAGGAGGAGGAGGAGGAGGAGGAGGAGGAGGAGAGGAGGAGGAGGAGGAGGAGGAGGAGGAGGAAGAGGAGGAGGGTGAAGAGGAGGAGGAGGAGGAGGAGGAGGAGGAGGAGGAAGAGGAGGAAGAGGAGGAGGAGGAGCAGCAGCTCTGTATGTGTGTCCCCTTTACCACCTGGGATCTGCTGACCTTCATCTGCCCCAGAAAGACTCGTTCTCCAGGGGACAGTGTCCCATTAAAGACTGCCTGTTATCCTGTGTGTGTGTGTGTGTGTGTGTGTGTGTGTGTGTGTGTGTGTGTGTGTGTGTGTGTGTGTGTGTGTGTGTCTGCTCAGTGTCTGTACGTCCAGAGGAATGCTGCTGCAGACGTGTTTCAGCTTGTTTGATGAACGTGTGACGAGGGAGGGAGACGCAGTCAGGAGCTCATGTCAACACCTGCTGGTCTCTGTGTCTCTGTGTCTCTGTGTCTCAGTGTCTCTGTGTCTCAGTGTCTCAGGATGTCTCTGTGTCTCAGTGTCTCTGTGTCTCTGTGTCTCAGTGTCTCTGTGTCTCTGTGTCTCAGTGTCTCAGTGTCTCTGTGTCTCAGTGTCTCTCTGTCTTGGTGTCTCTGTTTTTCAGTGTCTCAGAACATCTACATGTCTCAGGACGTCTCAGTGTCTCAGTTTCTCATGAAGTCCCTGTGTCTCAGTGTCTCAGGATGTCTCTGTGTCTCAGTGTCTCAGTGTCTCAGTGTGTGTCTCAGTGTCTCAGTGTCTCAGTGTCTCAGTGTCTCAGTGTTTCTGTGTCTCTGTGTCTCTGTGTCTCAGTGTCTCAGGATGTCTCAGTGTCTCAGTGTCTCAGTGTCTCAGTGTCTCAGTGTCTCAGTGTTTCTGTGTCTCTGTGTCTCTGTGTCTCAGTGTCTCATGAAGTCTCAGTGTCTCAGTGTCTCTGTGTCTCAGTTTCTCATGAAGTCTCAGTGTCTCAGGATGTCTCAGGATGTCTCAGTGTGAACTCCTCCACGTTTGTCCCTCAGACTCATCTAAATTTCTGTCTTTAGTTTTTATCTGATGTTAAAATAATTTCATAAACTCTGAATCATTAATTAAATATTATTTCAGGTCAGTTCCTCTGACTGTTTGTTTCTCCTCTGGTGTCTAAAAATGAGAGTTCATCAAACTGAAGTATGTCTGAACTTGGAGCTGCAGAGACGGTGGAGTTTGACTTTATTTGTTGGACAGACGTTTTTAGGAGTTTGTTGAAAGACGATTGTCGTTGTTTGTTTTCAGATAAAAAAATGTCTCACTAACAGCAGGAAGTGCATCTTACTGTAGTTTTTTCTCTCTGGGCTCCTGAGACGTTTCCTTTTCTTCTTCTTCTTCTGTTTTTGCAGAAACAGCAGAGTCTCACTCTCTTCATGTCTTTTGGTTTTTGTCCTAAACAGAGACACTGTCCTCGTTCATTTGAATCGATTTAGTCGTTTGTTTTCGTGTAAGAGAAGCTCGTCTTTAACGCAGTCAGAGGAGTGTGTGTGTGTGTGTGTGTGTGTGTGTGTGTGTGTGTGTGTGTGTGTGTGTGTGTGTGTGTGTGTGTGTGTGTGTGTGTGTGTGAGTTAAACAGGTGTCAGAGTGTGGAGAAGCAGCAGGAGAAAGTCTTTTGTTTTTACTCCCACAACTTCACAGAAATCTAAATTTAGACGCCTTCACCCTCGCGCTCTCCTCTCCCCTCTGTGAACGCCACCCTCGGCAGACGTATTTATATCCCCACTTCTGCTGCAGAAACCGCCGCCAACAAACGTGGCTCATGTGCGGGGTCTTCTTCTCGTGCTGTATACACACAAACAGGCAGATCGAGCGCCGCGGAGCAGAGCGGGGAGTGGTTTCTTGTGCGTGTTGTGTAAGCGTTTGGCCGTGGTGCCGGGCTGTGTGGGAGCTCGCTTCACCTCAGCTCTCTGATGGTGCCAGCAGAGACCCTGCAGTCATCTGTTGAGTGGGAGAACAACTGAACCGCCGAGAAAAAAGTCCGAGATGTAAAAAAAGATCAATTGGACTAAAACTGAATCAATCGGCGGCTCTGCTCCTGGAAACACTGCCTCATTAAAGTCCCTGAGAAGACTGACTCAGGTTCATCTTCTCAGTCTGACAGACACTTCTTCAGACAACAGGAAGTCCTGGACCTTTCATCAGAGTTTTTAATCATGTAGGATTGTCCAAACTCTGTTAGAGTTCAGAAGAGAAGAGCTGCTGACAGCTTCTCACCTCAGCTGGACACGAAACGAGAAAACTGCAGCGAGTTAATGAGCCTGTTGGTGCAGAAATATCCTGTTCTATCCTGAAGGGGGCGCAGTCTTAAGCTGCAGACAGTAGAGATGGTTTATCTCTTTAATAAGACGCCAAAATAAGAGCAAAGGTCACGGGCTGTTTGTGTTTTAGTGTCATGAACACAATGAGGATATCTGTGAGTTCTGCTGTAAGACGGAGCAGACAGGATTCACTGTCGGTGGTTTTTATCCATCCTGAGTGAACGACTGTGAGTCTGCAGCTGAAGACAGACCTGAGTGTCCGATAAAAGGGGCGGGGCCTGATGAGACAGACGATTACAGAAAACTCCTCCTCTGGTTTTATCATTTTTAATTATTTCCTGTTTTATTTATTTATTTTCTGTTTAGTTTTAATGTTAATTATGTTTTTATTATTTTTAATTATTTCCTGTTTTATTTATTTTTTTCTGTTTAGTTTTAATGTTAATTATCTGTTTTTTTAATATTTGATAATTGAGGAAATCTGATCTCAGGTTTAGTAAAATGCTCCATAAAAAGTTCAAACAAACTGAAAAATCAAACTTGTTGAAGTCCGTCTGTCGTCCGCTGACTGGGCTGGGATCCCCTGACTGACTTTGTGGCCTGCCTGAACTAGCACCACTCCTCAGGTCATGTCTGCAGACGTCATCGCTGAGTTTTAAAATGATGATTTCGTCGTAAATGTTTTAATAATAATATTGTGTTTATTTCTGAGTTTTCTGGATATCAAAAGTCGAATGTTTCTGTCGTTCCTCATCCTGAGTTTCCTCCTCCTCCTCCTCCTCCTCCTCCTCGTCTTGACTTTGCCCTTTCTCACTTTCACACTTCTCCCTCTCTCTCTCATTAAATCAACGTTGGCTGTATTTTTAGCTGCTGCTGCTGCTGTCACCTCTGTGCACGCTCACATACGGACCGTTCAGTGAGAAAATGACAAATCCAGTAATTGGATCTGTTTTTATTAAACCAGATCACTCCAAACTCGCCCCTCTCTCTCTCTCTCTCTCTCTCTCTCTCTCTGCCCCCCCCAGAATCCCACCCAGGTGGGCACGGCCCTGCAGGTCTTCTATAACCTGGGCAGCCTGAGGGAGACCATCAGCTCTGTGGTGGGGGGTTACAGGACCACCATCCAGGACAACATCACCAGCGCTCTGGACATCAAGGGTCTGACCCAGCCGGCTAACACCCGAGGTAAGAGACCCAGTTCAGGAGCTGCTCTGGTCTGAAGTGATACCCCGGTTCTGGTTCCATCTGGTTCTAGTTAAAGCACATGTGACCTTCAGATAACCCGTGGACTCAATCACTCGTCTCTGGTTCTGAATGGATCGATGAGGATGTCCCGTATTTCCTTCAGAACCAGCAGAGGTCTGTCTTTACCAAACCACTCACTCTGCTGGTTCTGACCCAGATCATTCAGCCTGAACTTTAGTGCTGTGAGGAGGATGAGGAGCTGCTGATTATTTCTATTGATTTATTGATCACAGATTAAAAACAGATCAGGGCTGATGGTCCACTCCTCTGACGGCGTAGGAGGGTGAAGACAACGACGTGATGAGGACACGGACGGGTTATAAACATACAAAGATCAGAGAAAAAACATCAACAAACACAAACAGAACATCAACTCATATAAACAACTAATAACTAATAACTAATAACATCAACTAATCATCAACCAGAGACGATCGAAGTAAAACAGACATAAAAACATGAAGATAACAGAGAACAACGCCTTTTAGACATGATCAGATCAGATCCAGGTTTATTGATAAAGAACATTTCAAAACAACAAAACTCTGATCAAAGTTCTGAACAGTAAAAATTAAAAACAATAAAAACAGAAAATTAACAGGAATAATCAAACAGAGAGACAGGAACCCGTTAAAAACAGGAGGACAGAGACGTTCAGGAAGAACAGGATCAAAGTTCTCAGGAGTAAAAGTTTGTTTATAAATGTGACTAAAAAAAACAGGAAGTGAGAGGGACCGTCGGACATGATGAGGAAGAGCGTTCAGAGCTTCGGCGCCATGATGGACCCCTGAACTTTAACCTTGACCTCGGGACAGTCAGAAGGTCAGAGGGTCTGAGAGTCCCAGATGAAATAAAAGGTTTTAAAGATTTACTAACAACATTTTAAAATCAATCCTAAAACTCACAGGAAGTCAGTGAAGAGAGGCGAAAATCGGGGAAATGTGGTCGTATTTACGGCGAGCAGATAAAACAGGAGGAGGAGGAGGAGCTGTAAACGATGAAGAGGTTTGACTGACACCAAAATAAAGAGGATTAAAACAATCAAGACGAGCCGTGATCAAAGTAAAACCTTCTTAAAATCACTGAAAGATAAAAAGACTCGACCTCGTTTAAAAGACGATAAAAACTGATTTAATGATGTTTTAAAGGATAATGTTGATTTTAGAGAAACGTCCTGATCAAAAGTGAAACCAGTCTGATGAGAAGAAGTTCTCTGTGTGTTAGCCCGGTTAGAGATCTGCAGACCAGAACAAAGGTCCACGTTCACCAGGCCGTCTGTTCTGGTCTCATGTGGTCTTGGTAAATCCTGATCCTCACATAAAGGAAGTGTGGTGTGTTTGTGAAGTTCTGGACCAGCCTGGTGTGGGTTTGGTCTCAGCTGTGTTTACGTCAGAAGTGGGTCAGAATTAACGCCGCGGTTCCTCGGGATTAAAGCCTGAAGGGCCTGGATCAGGGACTCCTGAGGTTCACAGAAGACTTTAGTTTTAAAGAATAATGAGGACATGAGGACTCACTTCTTCAGATCTTTATTATTGATATCATTTATTGGAGAAAACAATCTCTACAGTTTTAGTCCGTGTCTGTCCTCAGAGTTCTTCATGTTTGAAAGTCTCTCCTCAGTGACAGAAGAGTGGAGGTGTCTTCAGCTCACACACTGCTGTGTTTGTGTCTCTTTTAGTGTCGGTAAAAACAGTAAATCACAAGACTCAGAGACGTCAGCTTCATCCTCCAAGTCTGAGAGTCAGACTCTCTAAAAACCTGAACCAGAACCTGAACCTGACTCACTTTTACAGGGTCAGGGGAGCAGGTCTGGAACCAACACACGACGTGAACTGGACCATAAAGACCTCAGAGAAGACCACAGGCGGGAATCAAACCGTCTCTTTATCAGTGATGGAAGATCAGTTCTTTTGACTGACTCTTTAGAGTCCCTTCATTAAAATGATTCATTCAAAAGATTCGTTCACTGAATCAGGCCGTGTTTCGGAGCCCCGCCCTGTCGCTGCAGTACAGCAGTGAGTGACACAGCGGCGTGTTCGTTCATTAGCCCCTCCCCTCCCTGCTGCTGAAGTCACAGCGTTGTGACTCCCTCCTCCGACTGAATAAAGTCGTTCAGGAGTCGTTCGTTTCGTTCACCATGTCGTTCACTGACTGATAGATGTCGTTGATTTGCTGTGAGTGAATCATGAGACTCCGCCCACCCACTCGCTGGCTGTGTGTCGTTCGCCAGAGTCAGAGGCGGCAGTTCCACTCCTGACCGACACGCCAGGATCTGAGAAAGGAACGAATCAGGTCTGAGAGTGATTCAGTTCACGCCGTGTCCCTGCAGACTCCACAGAAACCTCCTCCACCCTCAGGAGCCGCTGAAGAACACTCAGACGGACTAAAGTCTCAGTCTTGTTTCAGTAGCTTCCTCACGTTTGGACTCTGAGTTACAGACTGAATCTCCGTCTGTTCTCCTTCAGTCTGTGTTTTAATCTCAGTGGGATTAACCTGCTGAAATAAGGACCAAATAAAATCTCATTTATTCTCTAAGAGACCCTGAACGTTATGTAACTTCATTTATTCCGTTTATTCCAGATTTATTCTAACAGGATTATGTAAACAGTCATTTCCAGAGGCGAGACTGCAGACGCCCCCGACGCCCCCGGAGATCAGACGGCGTTTTTAACCACGACGGCGTGGACCTCAAAGATTATAAACGCTGTGACGGTTTAGTGCCGCAGGCTGACGGACTCCTCTTTAGACTTGATCTTAGAGCCATCAGGATTTCTCCTGTATGTCAGTGAAGGTCCGAGAACCTCCACACTCCTGCAGCAGCTGTTTGTGTTTGACCTTCGACCTCCAAACCCACTTCCTGAAGGTCATCTAATGAAGTTTATTCCTGCAGGAGCGCCGGGCAGAGCCGTGCTGCCAACGCCCGGGAACACCGCCGCCTTCCGCGCAGCTCTGTGGACCAACCTGGAGAAGCTGATGGACCAGATTTGTGCTGCGTGCAAACAGGTGAGACCCAGAACCGAGTCCCAAACTCAGACCCGGTCCGCTAAAAGTCCAGAACTTCATTAATCTTCTGAAATCTTCCAGGTGCAACATCTGCAGAAGGTCCTGACGAAGAAGAGAGACCCGGTCACTCATGTGTGCTTCATCGACGAGATCATCAAGGTGAGTGGACTCCTCTGCTCTGACGTTGGCCCGGGTTCTGGTTCTGGGGTTATCTGTGGATTCTCTGAACGCTGAGTCCTCCAGGAGCTCATCATGAAACATCAGACGGCGTGTGGCGGCCTGGTTATGTGAGGCGCTCTCCTCTCCGCTCTGATACCTGACCCCCGGGGGGTTCTGCTCAGGATCTTCATCAGACCTGAACACAGAACTAGAGCACCTAGATCTGCAGATGAAAAACACACAGACTGCTCCTTTATGGTGGAATCATCTGAACTCTGAACAGATTCAGGAGGAGCAGGAGGAGCAGGAGGAGGAGGAGGAGGAGAGTTTTCACGCCAGTCTTTGACGGGTTTTCAGGACCCCCATCAGCACCAGCCAGATGCACAAATCAGAGTGGAGGACTGTTTCTATGGAAACAAAGCTCTCACCAATTACCCTGAGCCGGAGGTGTGAGCGCAGACCTAATGACATGTCTAAATGCACGGCTCCTCCTCAGCAGCGCCGCTTTACTGTCGGGGAGCAGGGCGCCATGTGTCAACAGGAAACTCAGAGCGAGGACGTGCGGTCCTGCTTCAAAGACGGCGGTGATGACAGGATGAATAAGACACCTGAGAGGTGAGAAACGGGCCGCGAGTCATTAAAGGCGCCGTCATCACCGCGTTCAGGAGGAGGAGGAGGAGGAGGAGGAGCAGCGGCGGCGACACGATGAAGACGTTTCACAGATTTCCAGAAAAATCCACATTTTGATTTCATAGTCTTTGTGGTCTTTGTAGTCTTTCCTCTCAGACGGGTTTCAAAGATTTGTCAGTTCTTCCTGGTCTCAGAGTCTCAGAGGGGAAAGTACAGAAGGAGGAGGAGGAGGAGGAGGAGGAGAGGAGGAGGAGGAGAGGAGGAGGGACAGCTGAGCAGCAGACCTGCAGCAGACCTCCCTAATGAGGGATTAGAGGACGATGAACACACACACACACACACAGACACACACACACACAGACACACACACACACACACAGACACACACACGCGCACACACACACACACACACACACACACACACACACACACACACACACACACACACACACACACACACACAGACACACACACGCGCACACACACACACACACACACACAGACACACACACACAGACACACACACACACACACACACACCTGTCCAGTTGAGTTAGAGGGTTCCTCCGTCTCCATCAGTGTTCCTGCAGACGTTCATTCAGCCTCTCAGAGATTAAAAAACAAAAACAGTTTTTATTTTTTATTTTTCTGTCTTCTGTCGTCTTTATCATCATCTCTCCTGTTTACCTGTGTCACTGAGACTCCGCCTCTGTTTACCTGTGTCACTGAGACTCCGCCTCTGTTTACCTGTGTCACTGAGACTCCGCCTCTGTTTACCTGTGTCACTGAGACTCCGCCTCTGCTCACCTGTGCACAGGACGCTCAGCCTGACATCCTCTACACCTTCTGGAGCGACGTGACCACCACCCTGAGGGAGGAGTTTCACAGGGCCACTGAAGGTAGGACCCGGGTCCAGGATTTAAGACTTTAAAAACTTCAGTCTTTAATATTAAAGGTACAGTCCGTAGAATACAGAGCCTTTTATTATTATTATTATTATTATTATTGTTATTATTATTATTATTATTGATAATAATAATAATATTTTTATTATTATTATTATTATTATTATTATTATTATTATTATTATTATCGTTATATAAACAGTGTTTCTGAATTCCTGAGAGGACAGCGAGAGCTCGTCGTTGTCTGTGGTTTTTAATTTCACTGGTATTGATGGTAAAAACTGATCAATGGAGGATCAGCCTTCTGATTGGAGGGATCTGAGCTGAGGTTAGAGTTCAGGATGGGAACATGAGGAGGTAAAAGGAGGTCAGGACAGGAGACTGAAGGAGTGAACTGATCTGGTTTACTGATGAAGCTTTTCCTAAAACCATCTGATCTCCACAAGCTCGACGTCACCCTCATCAGAACCTCCACAGCTGCACAGAACCACCTGAAGAAACACAAGAACAGTTTCAGCAGGAGGATGGAGAAGAGCTGGACCATCAGACCATCAGACTTCAGTTTAACCACAAACAAACCCAAACCTTATTGATCAAATGTTATTGATTTAACTCTAATCACACAATTCAGACGCTTTATCCTCTGAAAACAGACTGATTACTGCAGCAGAGGGGCGTCAGTGAGAGGAGGAGGAGGAGCAGGGAGAGGAGAGGGAGGAGGAGGAGGAGAGGGAGGAGGAGGAGGGGGAGGAAAAATAGGAGGAGGAGGGGGAGAGGGAGGAGGAGGAGGGGGAGGAGGAGGAGGGGGAGGAGGGGGAGGAGGAGGGGGAGAGGAGGAGGAGGAGAGGGAGGAGGAGGAGGAGGAGGAGGGGGAGGAGGAGGAGGAGGAGAGGAGGAGGAGGAGGAGGAGGGGGAGGAGGAGGGGGAGAGGAGGAGGAGGAGAGGGAGGAGGAGGAGGAGGAGGAGGAGGAGGAGGAGGAGGAGGAGGAGGAGGAGAGGGAGGAGAGGGAGGAGGAGGGAGGAGGAGGAGGGGGAGGAGGAGGAGGAGGAGGGAGGAGGAGGAGGAGGAGAGGGAGGAGGAGGAGGGGGAGGAGGGGGAGGAGGAGGAGGGGAGGAGGAGGAGGAGGAGAGGAGGAGGAGGAGGAGGAGGAGGAGGAGGAGGAGGAGGAGGAGGAGGAGGAGGAGGAGGAGGAGGAGGAGGGAGGAGGAGGAGGAGGAGGAGGAGGAGGAGGAGGAGGGAGGAGGGGGAGGAGGAGGAGGAGAGGAGGAGGAGGAGGAGGGGGAGGAGGAGGAGGAGGAGGAGGAGGAGGAGGAGGGGGAGGAGGGGGAGGAGGAGGAGGAGGGGGAGGAGGAGGAGGAGGAGGAGGGAGGAAAAATAGGAGGAGGAGGAGGAGAGGAAGAGGAGGAGGGGGAGGGGGAGGAGGAGGAGAGGGAGGAAAAATAGGAGGAGGAGGAGGAGAGGAAGAGGAGGAGGGGGAGGAAGAGGAAGAGGAGGAGGGGGAGGAAGAGGAGGAGGAGGAGGGGGAGGAGAGGGAGGAGGAGGAGGAGGAGGAGGAGGAGAGGGAGGAAAAATAGGAGGAGGAGGGAGAGGAGGAGGAGAAGGAGGGGGAGGAGGAGGAGGAGGAGGGGGAGAGGGAGGAAAAATAGGAGGAGGAGGAGGGGGAGGAGGAGGAGGAGGAGGAGGAGGGGAGAGGGAGAGGGAGGAAAAATAGGAGGAGGAGGAGTGATAATTTCGTGCTCTTCAGGAATCAGAGTAATTGTTTCTAACAGCAGCTGATTCTCTGTTTCTCTCTCTCTCTCTCTGTCTCTCTCTCTCTCTCTCTCTCTCTCTTTCTCACTCTCCCTCTCTCTCTCTCTGTTTCTCTCTCTCTCCCTCTCTCTGTTTCTCCCTCTCTCTCTCTCTCTCTCTCTCTGTTTCTCTCTCTCTCTCTCTGTTTCTCTCTCCCTCTCTCTGTTTCTCTCTCTCTCTCTCTCCCTCTCTCTCTCTCTGTTTCTCTCTCTCTCTCTCTCTCTCTCCCTCTCTCTCCCTCTCTCTCTCTCTGTTTCTCTCTCTCCCTCTCTCTCTCTCTCTCTCTCTCCCTCTCTCTCTATTTCTCTCTCTCTCCCTCCCTCTCCCTCTCTCTCTCTCTCTCTCTCTCTCTCTCTCTCTCTCTCCCTCTCTCTCTCTCTCTCTGTTTCTCTCTCTCTCTCTCCGTTCATTATCGCTCTCTTGTTTTCCCGCCTCTTTAAACAAACTCAAACTCGCTCCAATCGATCGTAAATCAGAGAAGCCGATAAAGAGTCAAAAATCAGTGAAACGAGAGTGAAGGTGTGAGAAGAAAGAGTCGATGATAGACACAATTACACACGCACACACACACGCACACACACGCACACACACACACAGATCAGAGTCGTCTGATTACACAGAGTAACAGCGTGAGAACAGGAGAGGCAGATTTGGACGTTAACAGACTTCAAACTCACAATCTGCATGCTGTGTGTTTGTTTGTGTGTACTTCTCTGTGTGTTTATGTGTGTTTCTGTTAGCTGTGTGTGTTTGTGTGTATTTCTGTGTGTGTTTGTGTTAGCTTCAAACCACTTCAGTCAGGGGTACTTCTTTTTATTATATTTTTATTTTATTTTTCATTTTATTTTATTTTATTTTCATTTAATTTTTATTTTATCTTTTATTTTATTTTTAATTAAACAAAATTTTTAATTGAATTGAATTTACTTTATTTTTTTCTGATTTAATTTGATTTAATTTTTATTTTATATTATTTTTATTTATTTATTTATTTATTTTGATTTATTTTTTATTGTATTTTAATTTAATTTTAATTTATTTTATTCTGTTTTTATTTTATCTTTATTTTACTTTTAATTTTATTTATTTTTTATTTTTATTGTATTTTTATTTCATTTTTAGTTTATTTGTTTTAATTTTATTATTGATTTTATATAAATTTGTAATTTTTTTTTCTGACTTCAATTTTTTTTTATTTTACTTTGTTTATTTATTTATTGTTTTTATTGTATTTTTATTTTATTTCTATTTTGTTTTATTTTTATGGGGGGCACACCTCCCCTCCAAGGGGACTGTCCGTCTCACCAACTGTCCGTCTGTGTCTCCGCAGCTTCGTCCTTCCTCAAACAGGCCTTTGAAGGGGAATATCCGAAACTGCTGCGTCTGTACAACGAGCTCTGGCGCCGCCTGCAGCAGTACAACACCAGCCTGCAGGGGGCGCTGACCGGTGGCGGAGGGATGGACGTGTCGCTGGACATCAGCAGCACAGAGACGGACAGTCAGGACCTGTTCACGCACGGCAAACAGGACTACAAGTGAGCAGCGGAGGGAGGGGTGAGGGTGTGATCACACCTGAGTTCAGAGTGAGAGGAGACGGAGAGTTAATCTGTGGACGAGCGTAATCTCACCCAGATTAACACGTCAGCTGTTCGGCTGTTCTCCTCTAAACTACGGTGGCCTTCAGAGCTCAAAAACCCTCAAACTGAGACGCCATCTTCTCAGGGTCTCATGAAGGTCACTGAACCTCGTCCACCTGAAAACTCAGGTGTGATCTGCTCAGGGTCCAGGAGAAAAACACTCAAACTAGTTTAGAAGAGCATGTGAGGACCAGACACACACACACACAGGAAGTGACATCATGAGCGGTCTGAAGCGGTCCGATCTGACCCTCTCTGGTTCTGTTTGTTTCTCCAGTCCAGAAAAAGCTCTGAAGGACTCTCTGCAGCCGTATGAAGCCGCCTACCTCTCCAAGTCGCTCTCCCGCCTGTTTGATCCCATCAACCTCGTCTTCCCGATGGGCGGACGCAACCCGCCGTCCCACGACGAGCTGGACAGCATCATCAAGACCATCAGCAGGCGAGTACAGAAGAAGAAGTCACATGTCTCACACACACATGCGTTGACTTCCACTCCAGAGTCGTGTCCGTTTTCTCGAACCCTGTCAGGTGACTTTAGTTTGATGGTTCTTCGCAGTGAGCTGAACGTGGCGTCAGTCGATCCGAACCTTTCTCTGGCTGTGGCGAAGAACGCCGCCAAGACCGTCCAACTCTTCTGCGTCAAGTCCGAGCAGCTGGTGTGTACTGTGTGTGTGTGTGTGTGTGTGTGTGTGTGTGTGTGTGTGTGTGTGTGTGTCGTCGTATTTCAGGCGTCACTCCGTCACTCTGAGGTGTGTTTTTAATCCTCGTGTGTGTCTGTCCTTCACCCCCCCAGCTGTGCACTCAGGGCGATGCCAGTCAGGTGATCGGTCCGCTGACGGAGGGTCAGAGGAGGAACGTGGCTGTGGTGAACTCTCTGTACCGTCTGCAGCAGGCCGTGGCGAAGGTGAGAGGCTGAAACAACTTCAGGATAAAAACAAATAAAAACACTGAGAATTAAAGATAAAAACTCCAGTGGGGAGTTTTTCACGGACACAGATCCTCAGCCTGAAGACCAGCCGCTCTGTCTCCTCTGAACTCTCGTGTTTCTGTGTTTGCAGATCATCTCAGGCTTGGGTTCGAGTCCTGCAGCTGCTGCGGAGGCCCTGTCTTCTTCTCTGGAGGTATCAGCAGCTTTTTTATCCCCATCTGAGTTCAGGTCCTCTCACAGTTCAGAGTCTGTGATAGTCTGGGTCTGCAGTCTTTGATAGTCTGGGTTTACAGTCTGTGATAGTCTGGGTTTTCAGTCTTTGATAGTCTGTGTTTACAGTCTTTGATAGTCTGGGTTTACAGTCTTTGATAGTCTGGGTCTGCAGTCTTTGATAGTCTGGGTTTACAGTCTTTGATAGTCTGGGTTTACAGTCTTTGTAAACCCAGACTATCAAAGACTGCAGACCCAGACTATCAGTCTTTGATAGTCTGTGTTTCCAGTCTTTGATAGTCTGTGTTTACAGTCTTTGATAGTCTGGGTTTACAGTCTTTGATAGTCTGGGTTTACAGTCTTTGATAGTCTGGGTTTACAGTCTTTGATAGTCTGGGTTTACAGTCTTTGATAGTCTGTGTTTCCAGTCTTTGATAGTCTGTGTTTACAGTCTTTGATAGTCTGGGTTTACAGTCTTTGATAGTCTGGGTTTACAGTCTTTGATAGTCTGTGTTTATAGTCTTTGATAGTCTGGGTCTGCAGTCTTTGATAGTCTGTGTTTCCAGTCTTTGATAGTCTATGTTTACAGTCTTTGATAGTCTGGGTTTACAGTCTTTGATAGTCTGGGTTTACAGTCTTTGATAGTCTGTGTTTACAGTCTTTGATAGTCTGGGTTTACAGTCTTTGATAGTCTGGGTCTGCAGTCTTTGATAGTCTGTGTTTCCAGTCTTTGATAGTCTGTGTTTACAGTCTTTGATAGTCTAGGTCTGCAGTCTTTGATAGTCTGGGTTTACAGTCTTTGTAAACCCAGACTATCAAAGACTGCAGACCCAGACTATCAGTCCTTGATAGTCTGTGTTTCCAGTCTTTGATAGTCTGGGTTTACAGTCTTTGATAGTCTGGGTCTGCAGTCTTTGATAGTCTGGGTTTACAGTCTGTGATAGTCTGGGTTTACAGTCTTTGATAGTCTGTGTTTACAGTCTTTGATAGTCTGTGTTTACAGTCTTTGATAGTCTGTGTTTCCAGTCTTTGATAGTCTGTGTTTCCAGTCTTTGATAGTCTGGGTTTATAGTCTTTGATAGTCTGGGTTTACAGTCTTTGATAGTCTGTGTTTACAGTCTTTGATAGTCTGTGTTTCCAGTCTTTGATAGTCTGTGTTTGCAGTCTTTGATAGTCTGGGTTTACAGTCTTTGATAGTCTGTGTTTACAGTCTTTGATAGTCTGTGTCTGCAGTCTTTGATAGTCTGTGTTTACAGTCTTTAAGTTTCTCATCAAACGTTACAGAGCCTTTTTTTCTGCCGACTCATCAAACGCCGCGTCTCTTTAACCATTTTCTCTCCTGAACCTTCGACATCGGCGCCATAAACTTACACATTAGATTTTTATTCCTGCTGCTTATCAGCCTGCAGAGTCCTCACACACACACACACACACACACACTCACACACACACACACACACTCACAGATATGAAGTGTTTGTTTACTCTTATATTCACACAAACATGAACTGGAGCGACAAACTAAAGTCACCTGTCATGAAACTCCGACCTCATCCATATGTACCCGCTGATCACATGACTAGACAGGTTACTATGGCAACAGAGAGCCTCTAAGACACAGCAGGATCATGTGATTCAGAGGGTCTCTGCGGCCGTTCTCAGGTCCTGGTCTGGAGTCTCTCTCTGTCTCTGGTTTCAGGGGGTTCAGGCCCTGATGAGCAGCGCCGTGCAGCCTCTCCTGCAGTCCGTCAGCGACTCCATCGAGGCCATCATCATCACGCTGCACCAGGAGGACTTTTCAGGGTGAGAAACACCTCCTTCCTCCTGAGGAACCCGAGCTGTCCCAGTTTTCCTCCGACTCTCTGAGGTCCGAGGTCACATGATCGACCCTGCTGCTGATTCTCGCAGCGTTAACACCGTTTACACTCACATACACTTTGTACTCCAGTTGATGTCAAAGCTTGAGCAGACCGTCAGCGCCCCCTGGTGGACACGTTTTGTCACTGCGATAAAACAGACGTGAGACCCACAGACAGGAGGTCATTAATCTGAAGTGATTTAAGAAAACCTGAAGGGGGCGCTGAGTGTGGAGGGGCAGGTCTCAGTCCTGACCCGGTCACCTCAGGATCCTGGACCAATGAAAACAGTAGAAACCTGATTTTAACTGAAAACAGCGACTGAAGAAAACAGAGGTCAGTGAGAGTTCAGCGTTTAGTCAGACCTCCGCTCCTCCAGAGGAGAGTCCGTCTCTGGTTTTCTGTTCCTGATCTAAAACAAAACGGTTCTTTTTACAACAAAGTTCTTCACAGAGAAAACAGAGACAGACTGACGACTAACATGAGGTCATGAAAACACAATAATCAATATCAGTGCAGTTAAACACACAGGGATCAACAAACGACCTTAAAATGTCAGAAAAGTTTCAAAAGAACAAATAAAAACCAGAAATAAAGTGAGAGAAGTGAGAGAAGTGAAGACCGAGGCTGAAAAGTCACTCCAGAGAAACAGACCAATCAAAACTTTTTAAAATCACTCTGATGTTTTTTTTTATCGTTGTGATGTTCGGGTACTGAGTCGGTCTCCGTCTTCGCTGCAGGCCTCTGTCCGCCCCCGATAAGCCCGACGTCCCGTGTTCCCTCTACATGAAGGAGCTGCAGGGCTTCATCGGCAGAGTGATGGCCGATTACTTCAGACACTTCCAGTGTGTGGACTTCATCTACGAGAGCACCGAGACCATCGCTCAGAGGGCCATCGAGCTCTTCATCCGCCACACCAGCCTGCTGCGCCCCCTGGGGGAAGGCGGGAAGATGAGGCTGGCTGCAGACTTCGCACAGGTGGGCGTTACATTCGGAGGTTCGCTGGTTTTCCTCCGATCGGAGTTTGTGTTCATCGATCTGTTTGTCAGACGTGGAGGTTTGTCCCTGATGGACCAGGCGTGTGTCCTCTGTTTGTTAGATGGAGATGGCGGTGGCTCCTCTCTGCAGGAGAGTGTCTGACTTGGGGAAACCGTACAGGATGCTGCGTTCCTTCAGGTGGGTTACACGCCGTCAGCACAGAGACGCTGGAGTCCGTCCTTTGGGACCTTCTCTTTTCAACCAGAGATGAAACTGATTCAGGTCCAGGTGGTTTTGAGTCTGTAGTCCTGGTCATGGAGCTGTGTTTGTTGTTTCAGGCCGTTGCTGTTTCAGACCAGCGAGCTGATAGCCAGCAGTCCGGCTGTGGGAGACCTGATCCCCTACAGCACCCTGCTGCACTTCTTCTTCACCAGAGCGCCGCCGGAGCTCAAGTCCCCCCACCAGGTAGGAACCCGACCAACTTTTCCTTTTACCAAGTGAAGACGGCTCTAACTCCGAGATGTTTCACTCACTGGGTCGCCGTGTTCCCCCACAGAGAGCCGAGTGGTCGGTCGCCCGTTACTCCCAGTGGCTGGATGATCATCCGTCGGAGAGAGACAGGCTCTCCCTCCTCAAGTAAACACTTTTCCTTCTTTACTTTCTGTCCTCTGCAAACACACAGACAGCCTGAGCTGAGAAGAACTGGACCTCAGAGAGCAGAGAGCACGGATCCTTCACTGAGATCCAATCAGAACTTTATCAGAACCATCAGCTCCTCCTGCTGAGCTGCAGGCGCCTCCGTCTCAGCGTCTGTGTGTGAAAATACGTGTGACATACTGTACATACCATCACACACACACACACACACACACACACACACACACACACGTTGTTATCCTTCGTAAACACACTCAGTGATGAGTGGGTGTGGCCTGCCTGAACCCTCTCCTGTGTTCTCCTGTGTTCTCCTCTAAGGGGCGCTCTGGAGGCCTACGTGCAGTCGGTGAGGGCTCGTCAGGGAAAGGAGTTCGCGCCCATCTATCCCATCATGCTTCAGCTGTTACAGAGAGCCAGCAGCAGCAGCAGCAGCAGCTCACAGGAGGCCAGAGCCTGAAGAGGAGCATCTTCTCCATGATGATGGGAGCAGTGAGTGAGGGGATTATTCCAGCAGAGGAATGATGGTTCTCACCTGAGCCTCTTTGTTTTGTTACACACTATGTTTGCAGGAAGGAGACGAAACCGGAGAGTATCTGAAGAAATGGGACGTACCCGCTCTGATATCTGGGTTCAGCTCATGTTAAACTCTCTCTGACTGTGTTGTGAAGGTGTTTGTACAGACAGTCTGTAAAATCTTAAACACGAATCTTGAGAATAAAATGGGAAAAAATAAAGGAGTTTCATTTTGTACAACACAAACACACACACACACAACAGACAGACTGACACACAGTATTTATGTGTAAAAATGTCACAGTGGAGCATGATAAAAATATTAGATATAGTATCAAAAACAATATCATAGTATAGTATGACAAACAATATCAATAAAAGTATGATATAAAATATGTAACAGCTTAGTATGTTTTAAAAGCATAAAGTATGATAAAAATCTCATAGTATAGTATGTTTAAAAAATCCAAATATATGATAAAAAATGTCATAGTATAGTATGTTATAAAAACCATAGTATAGTATGACAAAAATGTCATAGTATAGTATGTTCAAAATTACAAATTTTAGTGTGAAAAAAAATCATATTGTATAATTCAAAAAATGTCACAGTATAGTATGTTAAAAATTACAAAAAGGAGTGTGAGAAAAACTTTTTATTTTTTACAATGAAATTTATCTGCCATGGTATTGTATGACAAAAATATCATAGTATAGTGTGTTAAAAATTTCAAAATTTTGTATAAAAAATTTTCATTTTTTCATACAAAGTTATGCCATAGTATAGTATGACAAAAATGTCATACTAAAGCATGTTAAAAATTTCAAAATTTAGTGTGAAAAAAAAATTAGAATAATCAAAAAAAAATGCCATAGTATAGTATGTTAAAAATAAAAAATAAAGTGTGAAAAATCATTTCATTTTTTACTATGAAATAAACTGCAATAGTACAGTTTGATAAAAACATCATAGTATAGTATGACAAAGATGTCATAGTAAAGTATGATTAAAAATTTCAAAATTTAGTGTGAAAAAAAATTCATATTGAAAAATCCAAAAAAAAAGCCATTGTATAGCAAGATAGGAATGTCATAGTATAGTATGTTCAAAAAATTTCAAAATTTAGTATGAAAAAATGTCTATTTTTTCCATTAAAAATGCCATGGTATAGTATGACAAAAATGTCATAGTGTAGTATGTCCAAAATTCAAATTTTAGTGTGAAAAAAAAATCATATTGTATAATTCAAAAAATGTCATAGTATAGTATGTTAAAACATACAAAATGTAGTGTGAAAAAGCATTACTTTTTTTACTTTGCAATTAACGGCCATAGTATAGTATGATAAAAACCTCATAGTATAGTATGACAAAGACGTCATAGTATGGTATGATAAAAATTTCAAAATTTAGTGTTTCAAAAAAATCATTTTTTACTATCCACAATTATGCTATAGTATAGTATGACAAAATGTCATACTATAGTATGTTAAAAATTTCAAAACTTAGTTACAAAAAATACATATTTTATGAGCCAAAAAATGTAATAGTATAGTATGATAAAAATGTCATGGTATAGTATGACAAAAATGTCATAGTGTAGTATGTGAAAAATTTCAAAATTTAGTGTTACAAAAAAATCAAATTTTAACTATCCAAAATGATGCCATAGTATTGTATGACAAAAATGTCATAGTGTAGTATGTGAAAAATTTCTACATTTTGTGTTACAAAAAAATCATATTTTACTATCAAAAATGATGCCATAGTATAGTTTGACAAAAATGTCATAGTATAGTATGTTCAAAATTATAAATTTTAGTGTCAAAAAAAAAATCATATTGTATAATTCAAAAAATATCATAGTATAGTATGTTAAAAACATACAAAATGTAGTGTGAAAAAGCATTACTTTTTTTACTTTGCAATTAACTGCCTTAGTATAGTATGATAAAAACCTCATATTATAGTATGACATTACCGTCAGTGTAGTATGTTAAAAATTACAAATTTTAGTGTGAAAAAAAAATATTGTATAATTCAAAATATGTCATAGTATAGTATGTTAAAACATACAAAATGTAGTGTGAAAAAACATTACTTTTATACTTTGAAATTAACTGACATAGAATAGTATGATAAAAACCTCATAGTATAGTATGACAAAGATGTCATAGTATAGTATGATAAAAATTTCAAAATTTAGTGTGAAAAAATGTCTATTTTTTTCATTAAAAAATGCGATAGTGTAGTATGACAAAAATGTCATAGTGTAGTAAGATAAGAATCTCATAGTTAGGTATGTTAAAAATTAAAAATGTAGTGTGAAAAAACATTTCATTTTTTACTTTAAAATTAACTTCCATAGTATAGTATGATAAAAATGTCATAGTATTGTATTGTATGTAAAAAAAATTCAAAATTTAGTGTTACAAAAATTTCATATTTTATTATCCAAAAAATTGCCAAAGTAAAGTAAGATAAGAATCACAAAAATGTCATAGTATAGTATAGTATGTTCAAAATTACAAATTTTAGTGTGAAAAAAAAATCATATTGTATAATTAAAAAAATGTCATAGTATAGTATGTTAAAACCTCATATTATAGTATGACATTACCGTCATAGTGTAGTATGTTAAAAATTACAAATTTTAGTGTGAAAAAAAATATTGTATAATTCAAAATATGTCATAGTATAGTATGTTAAAAACATACAAAATGTAGTGTGAAAAAACATTACTTTTTTACTTTGAAATTAACTGCCATAGAATAGTATGATAAAAACCTCATAGTATAGTATGACAAAGATGTCATAGTATAGTATGATAAAAATTTCAAAATTTAGTGTGAAAAAATTTCTTTATTTTTTTCATTAAAAAATGCGATAGTGTAGTATGACAAAAATGTCATAGTGTAGTAAGATAAGAATCTCATAGTTAGGTATGTTAAAAATTAAAAATGTAGTGTGAAAAAACATTTCATTTTTTACTTTGAAATTAACTTCCATAGTATAGTATGATAAAAATGTCATAGTATTGTATTGTATGTAAAAAAAATTCAAAATTTAGTGTTACAAAAAATTCATATTTTATTATCCAAAAAACTGCCAAAGTAAGATAAGAATCTCATGGCATAGTATGACAAAAATGTCATAGTATAGTATGTTCAAAATTACAAATTTTAGTGTGAAAAAAAAATCATATTGTATAATTAAAAAAATGTCATAGTATAGTATGATAAAAACCTCATATTATAGTATGACATTACCGTCATAGTGTAGTATGTTAAAAATTACAAATTTTAGTGTGAAAAAAAAATATTGTATAATTCAAAATATGTCATAGTATAGTATGTTAAAACATACAAAATGTAGTGTGAAAAAACATTACTTTTATACTTTGAAATTAACTGCCATAGAATAGTATGATAAAAACCTCATAGTATAGTATGACAAAGATGTCATAGTATAGTATGATAAAAATTTCAAAATTTAGTGTGAAAAAATGTCTTTATTTTTTTCATTAAAAAATGCGATAGTGTAGTATGACAAAAATGTCATAGTGTAGTAAGATAAGAATCTCATAGTTAGGTATGTTAAAAATTAAAAATGTAGTGTGAAAAAGCATTACTTTTTTTACTTTGCAATTAACGGCCATAGTATAGTATGATAAAAACCTCATAGTATAGTATGACAAAGACGTCATAGTATAGTATGATAAAAATTTCAAAATTTAGTGTGAAAAAAATCATATTTTACTATCCACAATTATGCTATAGTATAGTATGACAAAATGTCATACTATAGTATGTTAAAAATTTCAAAACTTAGAGTTACAAAAAATACATATTTTATGAGCCAAAAAATGCCATAGTATAGTATGATAAAAACCTCATAGTATAGTATGACAAAGATGTCATAGTGTAGTATGTGAAAAATTTCAAAATTTAGTGTTACAAAAAAATCATATTTTACTATCCAAAATGATGCCATAGTATAGTATGACAAAAATGTCATAGTAAAGTATGTTCAAAATTACAAATTTTAGTGTGAAAAAAAATCATATTGTATAATTCAAAAAATGTCATAGTATAGTATGTTAAAAACATACAAAATGTAGTGTGAAAAAGCATTACTTTTTTCACTTTCCAATTAACTGCCTTAGTATAGTATGATAAAAACCTCATAGTATAGTATGACATTACCGTCATAGTGTAGTATGTGAAAAATTTCAAAATTTAGTGTTACAAAAAAATCATATTTTACTATCAAAAATGATGCCTTAGTATAGTATGACAAAAATGTCATAGTATAGTATGTTCAAAATTAAAAATTTTAGTGTGAAAAAAAAATCATATTGTATAATTAAAAAAATGTCATAGTATAGTATGTTAAAAGCATACAAAATGTAGTGTGAAAAAGCATTACTTTTTTCACTTTCCAATTAACTGCCTTAGTATAGTATGATAACAACCTCATAGTATAGTATGACAAAGACGTCATAGTGTAGTATGTGAAAAATTTCAAAATTTAGTGTTACAAAAAAATCATATTTTACTATCAAAAATGATGCCATAGTATAGTATGACAAAAATGTCATAGTGTAGTATGTTCAAAATTAAAATTTTAGTGTGAAAAAAAATCATATTGTATAATTCAAAAAATGTCATAGTATATTATGTCAAAAACATACAAAATGTAGTGTGAAAAAGCATTACTTTTTTTTCTTTGCAATTAACTGCCATAGTATAGTATGATAAAGACCTTATAGTATAGTATGACAAAGATGTCGTAGTATAGTATGATAAAAAATTCAAAATTTAGTGTGAAAAAAAATCATATTTTACTATCCACAATTATGCTATATTATAGTATGACAAAATATCATACTATAGTATGCTAAAAATTTCAAAACTTAGTGTTACAAAAAATACATATTTTATGAGCCAAAAAATGCCATAGTATAGTATGATAAAAATGTCATAGTATAGTATGACAAAAATGTCATAGTGTAGTATGATAAAAATAACAAAATATAGTGTGAATTTTTTTTTTTACTATGAAATTACCTGCCCTAGTACAGTATGATAAAATTGTCATAGTATAGTATGATCAAAATGTCATACTAAAGTATGAAAATATTTTTTTCATACAAAAATGCCATAGTACAGTATGACATAAATGTCATTGTATAGTATGTGAAAAACTTCAAAATTTAGTGCTACAAAAAATCATATTTTATCATCCAAAATTATGCCATAGTATAGTATGACAAAAATGCCATAGTATAGTATGTTAAAATTTTCAAAATTTAGTGTGAAAAAAAATTAGTATTGTATAATCCAAAAAAATGCCATAGTATAGTATTAAAAAATTTCATAGTATAGAATGTAAAAAATGTTATAGTATAGTATGACAATAATGTGGTAGTATAGTATGTTAAAAATGTCAAAACATAGTGTAAAAAAACATCTGTTTTACTATGAAATTAACTGCCATAGTATAGTATTATAAAAATGTCATAATATAGTTTGTTAAAAATTTCGAAATTAAGTGTTACAGAAAATCATATTTACGATACAAAAAAAATGCCATAGTATAGTATGACAAAAATGTCATAGTATAGTATGATGAATATTTCAAAATTGAGTGTGAAATTTTTTTTTTTATATTTTTTAATCATAAAAAAGCCATACTATAGTATGATGAAATTTCACAGTATAGTATGTTAAAAATGTCAAAATTTCGTGTGAAAAAAAAAATCATATTTTATGATAAAAAAAAATGCCAGTGTAGTTAAACAAAAAATATCATAGTACAGTATGTTAAAAAAGGCTAAATGTAGTGTGAAAACACTTATTTATTTTACCATGCAAAAATGCCATAGTATAGTATGATAAAAATCATAGTGTAGTATGATAAAAAATGTCATAGTATAGTATGATAAAAATCATAGTGTAGTATGATAAAAAATGTTGTAGTATTGTATATTAAAAATGTCATAATATAGTATGATAAAAATGTCATAGTATAGTACGTTTCAGTTTCTGTTTCAGCAGGAAGGAGACTAAACCTGAGAGTAACTAAGGGGTGAGACGCATCCTCTCTGATATTTGGGTTCAGTTCATGTTAAACTCTCTCTAATATTTTACAGACTGTCTGTACAAACACCGTCACAACACAGTCAAAGAAGAATCTTGAGAATAAATTGGTAAATAATGAAGGAGTTTTATTTTGTACAGCATAAACACACTCACACATACAGGGTGTATTCAGATGGGCCATTTCCACTGGTTTGGAGGAGGCTCCTCGACCAGCGGCTCCCAGGGCTTCCACTCCGACATTTTCCTGGACAGAGCCAGCTCACACTCCGCCTGCACGCACACACACACACACACACACACAGTTATCAGGCTGATTTTCAACACACTGATTATTGTTCGTAATATCACTGAGAGAAGGACACGCTTTTCAGACACCAATAAACATCCTGACTGACGCTCTCATTAAAGCTTGAGTGGACAGATCAGCGTTGAGTACTGCATGTCGATATTTTTGAGCGGTTACAATCAGGACAGATTGTTTTCTGTCAGGACTGGAGACACAAAGCTTGAAAACAGGACGGTCCTAATCAAACCGGGGTGAAAGGTCATCCTATGATAACAGCACTAAGTGGTTCAATCTGGCGAGCATCAGAGGAGAGCATTGATGAGGACATGAACATGATAGAGGTTTAATGACATGATTGAAGACATGGAAATGTGTCCTCCAATCACATCAGGGACCATTAACAACAGGGTCCTGTACCAGCAGCCCCCTGAAGTCCTGATTCAGACAGACAGCAGATGTCATCGAAAAACAGCCCAGATCACCAGAGTAAGACAGGCTGATGTCACCATGGCGACCACACGCATGTGTGAAACATTAGAAAGAGTGACGAGACTCACCTGGAAAATCACTTCTTCGATCTGCCCACAGTTGATCTTCTGCTCCAGCTTCCCCACGTCAGGCTCCTGTAAACACAGACAAACACACACCTGAGTGTGTCAGCTGGTCTGACATTAACTCAGTCACTGTATCAATACATTTAAGATATTCATTTATTAGTGCCACAGGGGGGAAGTCATCAGCAGCATATAAATACAACAACGAGAAATTAAAGGATGAAGAAACTTAGGAGTAAAAACAAATATATATTTACACACAAGTGTTATTTACTGCTGGTCTGTACATGTTTGATTTATCATGTGGGACAGACTTTCACAGACGGGTGTATGAAGACAGAAACAAACTGCCTCCTACCCAGAGAGAAAATTAACCCTTTACTGTGATGAAAAGGACAGAACTAGACTCTTCAGCTGGAGCTGCTTTACCGTTTTCACGTGGGTGAATTTATCACTGATCAGCTGCTCCGTGTACTTCCTGTAGGCGGCGTCCTGAGGCATGGTCTGCAGGGACGCCAGGATCTTCGAGTACAGGATCCTCAGACGCTGAGGGGACAAAAGAGGAAACGGTCGATCTGACAAACACTGAAGAACTCTGAAATGAAACACACACACACACACACTGTTGTGTTGACGCTCACCTCATGTGGATTCTGGGACACTGCGAGGCCGACCAGGCCCGTCGTCTGTTGGAGAAGAGGAGAGACACTCGTTTACTTGGTGTCACATGATCTGTCTCATTCGCTCATTAACTCATCTTTAGAGCAGAGGATGAACACTTGAAACATTCATGTCACCTCTGCAAACACACACACACACACACACACACACACACACACACCTTTACTGTCTCACACTGAGCTCTGCTGTGTTTTAACTATTGGGCTTCATGTTTGATCATCGATACACACGACCAGAGCAGCATTTAGTGTGTGTGTGTGTGTGTGTGTAAAGAGAGATCAATTTATCATGATGATTGATCCACTGATTTGATATAATTATATACGTAACAAAAACAATTATTAACACTAACCTAAATATAACAGCAACAATAAGAACATACTGAGTAATAATAAAAAAGTAATATTTAAAATAATACATTAATACAAATAAAGGTAACATAAATAATAAAATATCAATAATATTATAAAATATTAAAATTCATTATATTAATAATAATGATTATATTTACAATAATATATTCATCCAAATTAAATAAATAATATAAAAATAACAGTAAGTTAATAATAAAAATAAACATTATCCTGGGATCTCCGTGTTATTTAAACCGGACAGAAAACTTCAGACCCTCCGAGAGTTTAAGGCTCATAAATCCTCATTAAAAGTCCTGATTATTGGAGGAAAGATTGATCAGCTGTGATCAATAAAAACCGAGTTAGCATCACAGCTAACAGCTAACGGCGTGTCTATCAAACTACAGAGATTCACTTTAAATATTTACAGACAGATATCTGCGCAGAAACCCTCTAATTCAACCTTTTGTTAAAGAACATAAGCGCTAACTTCATTGAAATACTCCAATTAAACCAACTTTGACCTTTACACCAACCTTCTTCAGCAGCCCGGACATTCTCCTACACGGACTTACACACTTCCGGCGACTTCCGGAAACTGAAATAACGTCATCGTGGGGCGCCTTTGAACATAGATATCAGCGGCGTCCCTACACGGCGGCCATCTTACTCCAGTACACCATTCTGGTCCTCTCTGTGGAAGCTGACTGGAGGTGAGTAATCTGATCAAAAATCCTCTTAACTCTCTGAAATCTTGACAGATTTACAAACGGTTTAGTTTATTACAGACCTTAATAACGTGGTTATGAGTCGGGATGTTTGGACACATTAAAATGACAGATTTACTTTGAGAAAAAAGACTGAAGTTTGTTAAAAACATCTAAAATGGAAACATGAGGCAGAAATTTATATTGAAAATAAATATTATGTTATTATAGTTGTCCCTATAATTAATATAACATACATGTAATGATTAAATGTTTTATATAAAAATGATTTAATATAACTGCCCTTGTGTTTGTAGGCCTATAGCTATTACTCTATCTATCTGTTTAATGTTTATTTATGTAAATCCATGGTTAAAATTATTCTTGAATATGCAGGAACATAACTAAAACTCTGAGGTTTGTTACAAAACAAACCGTTAGAAAATCGGTTTAAAATTGATCAATCTATGGTTATTTAAATGATTCATGAACTGTAGACTGGAACGGTAGGAGTGGGAGAGCTGACCTTAGTAAGATGGCCGCCTTGCACAGAGGTCGGTCTCCATTGGCTAACAGCGTGTGTGAGCCATCTAGCGTTTATATGTTTATATCTATGCTTTTGAATACGACGTTTACGTTATTCAACCGAAGTGCACATTTGAAGACTTTTAAAAGTATCTAATTAAAATTTACTGTATGAAAAAATTAAAGAAAATTAATTTTAAACGTTTTTTCATTAAAATGAAATAAATGTGAAAATTATTATCTCACAGAAGAAGCACTTAGTCAGCAGGAACCGTAGACTGTATATAGAAAACAATACTATATTAAATACTGTATGGAATACAATATTAAAACTATATAAAATGCTAAACTATACACCGTCTGTGGCGGCAGCAGTTTAAGGATTTCCATTAGAATGAAAATAATTTATTAAAAAAGGTTAAAAAATCTAAAATATTTATATATTTTTAACTGTATAAAAAAATAAAGCAGCACTTTATTTGGTCACATTGAGAAATGGTGCACACTTAAACCAAATCGTGAATATCACATTGATAATATAAACACTCTAAAGTCTTTTATTTTTACACATATGTACCAAATTTCAGGTTTGTGTTGAGATTTAATAAATGCAAGTTTATAAATTTGAAGACTGAAGACACACGACCACGAATCCTGATTAACTTGTCGTCTCAGTTGATTTCTATCATTCAAAATATCTTTGTGTTTAATACATAGGTATTTAGATTTACAAATATAGATTTTTATTAAATCTCTAATTTACAAAGAAGGAGCAGGACTCGATCTTCTCTCTGCTTCATTCTGTTCCTTCTCCAACTGTTTATTTTTGACAAACATGTTTGTGTTTATTTATCTTTAACAGGTTCAGCTGTTTGGTGTTCAGGTGGATTATTTTGTTCGCTGTTTCTGTTTCTAGTTATAGAAAATTGAGCGTTCGATCAGCATGGATCACAGTCAGCAGAGTTCAGGTGAATCCTCTCTGGGATACTTCCTCTTAGAGCACAGCGCCCTCTGCTGGCCTCTCCATACGCTCTGTTTAATCACACTCTGCAGAGGAGAAAAGTGAGTCGGCGTCACAGACACGGGGTCAGACAGAGAGCAGGTTCAACACTTTAATGACATCAAACCAGAGCAATGCCAGCTATAAGCACATCATCCATATCATCAAGTCTTAAAAAATCTATTTCAAAAAGGTTTGGCTGAAAAAGTCGTCTATCTACAGAAGAGTAAAAAATATCAAAGTATAAAAATATATTACAAATCTCCGTTATTTACAAAGACAGCTTCTTCTAACTTCTAACCGTCTACTCTGTCAGTTAGTCTCAGTCTAGTTGTGTTTCCTAAAACAAGCAACACGTCCTCAGTAAACTCAGCACCTAAAGGAGACGACTCAGGAGGACACCAGGACGCCACTAAACTCCCAGCATCCTCTGGGGGGGGCGGGAGGAGGGAGTGGAGGTGAAGACGCAGGAATGACTGTGGAGGAGGTCAGAGGAACATCCTGAGGGTGGAAACAGACGAGTCAGGTGGAGATCTCAAACAGCACCTGAGACACACACACACGTGTACACACACACACACACACACACACACGTGTACACACACACACACACACACCTGTAGATGTTGGGGTCCAGCAGCACAGCTGTGTCTGTGGGCAGCTTGGACAGATGAACCACTTTGGTCTTCTGCTGCAGTCTGTCGCTCTCGTTCACCCAAACGTCCGGCAGTCTGACACCAACAAAGAAAAGGGGAGAGAGCCAATCAGAAGAGAGAGCAGGGAGGGACAAACGCCACCTGTCAACTCGGCACTTAATCCACCGAGACCTGGACTAGGAGAGGACAAGAGGAGGACCAGCAGGAGGACAGGAGAGGACTTACATGTCCTCAGGAGTCCAGTGCAACAAGACCTTCACTTTCCCAGAGTCCTCTTTCCTCCTCGCTATGACCTGAAACACACACACACACACACACACACACACACACACACACACACACACACACACACACACACACACACATGCACACACACATGCGCACACACACACACACACACACACACACATACACACGCACACACACACACACACACACACACACACGCACACACACGCACACACACACACACGCACACACACATTAGCCAGTGCTGAAGTTCATATGCCGCTGTAAGTAGAGTGATGAGAGTGTGTGTGTGTGTGTGTGTGCGTGTGTGTGTGTGTGTGTGTGTGTGTGTGCATGTGTGTGTGTGTGCGTGTGTGTGTGTGTGTGTGTGTGTGCGTGTGTGTGTGTGTGTGTGTGTGTGTGCGTAAGCGCACCGTGCTGTGGAAGACCACACTGTGTCCGTTCCCCAGGCTCTCGATGTGCGTCGCCAGGTTGAGGCAGATGGCTCGATGGCGGATGGCGTCCATGGTCTGAGCGTCGAAGAAGTCGTGAGGTCGAGCTGGAAATGAAAAACGGTCTTTATGGTGAAACGTGAACATGTGTGTGTGTGTGTGTGTGCGTGTAAAAGTGTGCGTGTGACGTACGCAGAGAGCGCTTGTGTTTGTTCTTGAGTTTCCTCCTCTTCATCAGACCGGCCTTCGACGGAGACTCCTCCTTCACTTTGCCCTGATTGGACACTTTGGATGAACTCTGGGAGCTGAAGTGGGTGGGGACGTGTCTGGCGAGCCCCCCCTGGGAGGCGAACGTGGCGTTGCAGCCCCCGACCACACACTGAGGGAGGAGTTATTGATTCTGTTCAGTATTGTTACAAACACCGATCACCGGAGGAGCGGCGAGAACGAGAGAGGAGACGCTGCGACCAATCAGAGAGTGACGACCTGTGTGTGTGTGTGTGTGCGTGCGCTCTCACCTTGAAAGGCTTGTCCCCGCTGTGTGTCAGCATGTGTCTCTGCAGCCAGCTCTGACTGGTGGACGGTGTGTTGTAAACTTTACAGCCTTTCCACAGACACACAAACACCTGAGAGGAAACACACAAACACACACATATATGAGGTCACACTGACGACACAAACACACACTCTCACACACACACACACACACACACACACAGCTGACTGTGGTCCAGACTGGAGTGAATCAGGTTCTTGGTCTCAGACTCTCTGACTCTGTTTGGAACTTTGATGAAGTGACTTTGTGTTCTAGCCGGCGGCACGCACACTCACACACAATAACACACACTCACACACACAATCACACACACACTTCTCTTTATCAGCGCGCCGCCGCCGCCGTCTTTCAGCCTCATGACACAGAAAATGAGTTTCGCCGCGTTCTTCACGCTCAGAAACACGAGAGGAAATAAAAACATTTGATGGTTTTCAGACGTTTGAGCCGATCCAGAATCAAAGTGAGAGCCGGATCAGAACCTTCAGTCCAGAGCAGAACAGCTGATTCCTCAGACAGAAGCAGCGTGTCCTCACTCGCTGTGAAGTCTTTTTTCTTTTGTCTTATTTTAGTAAAAATCATCCTGATGATGAAACACGATAACCATCTTACTCCAAACCAAAGAAGGAGCCGAACTGATGAGGAGGCCAGAAAAATCACTGAAGGTTCTTTAATTCAGGCGCTGCTCTCAGGAACTTTCCACGACGGCGAGTTTAAACCCACAGAGAGTGGGAGGAGACCCTCGGTGTTTACAGCCCACAGTCACCTGACAGAGACCGTCAAACATGGCCGTTCTTCGCTCCGTCTTCACCGCTGATCCAGTTTCTCTGGTTTAAGAATTTCAGAATAAAATGAACAGAAACAAGATTTTTGTGTCTGTGGGAAAAAAACTACGACGGAGTTTAAAAAAAAGATTAAAGTGGTAATAAAATCATTATTTAAGAGAATAAAGTAACTTTGGTCTTAAATCTGCTTCAGTGGAGGAGTAAATGTCTGAGCGGGTCACCTGCAGAGTTCTCTGAGGTTCATCAGCAGGTCGTTCAGAGACTTTTTCTAACTGATGATCAATATTTACGATT